GAGTTAATGATTAACCAGGAAGAGAGAGGAGAGGGTTAGGACACACTCACGGGTAGCCTTCTGCCCTCTGGGGCAGTGTAGAGCTTCTTCGGAGCCACACCTGCCCTGCCCTGTTAGTGGAGGGACTGGGTGGAGGCAGGGCATGCAGGGCAGGGCTGTCCCTGGCGAGGAACTTGGCCTCCAAAAGGCCTAGCAGAGCCACCTGTGAGACATAGGAATTGGCCCTCTCATGGCCTAGGCCCCCTCATCACAGGTGGCAAGGCTCATGGGCAAACACTCCTCCTTAGCGCCTGCCCAGCCCCACCATAGCCTGCAGCTCCGCCAGTTCCCCTATCAGCACTGGAGCTTCGTTAGACTAAATCACAAAGTGCACTCAGAAGAACTGGTTCCTCAGACCCACTGGTGACCATGTGGCTGGAGAGCCCCAGTGCCCTATTGGGGCACCAGCCAGAAGATATTGGCACCCTTCACATCTTTCTCTGTGATACATGCTCAGGCACACACGTACGCAGATCCATACACACATACGCATGCATACACATGTACGGGGCACACTAGGGTTGGTTTCTTCATTGCCCGATCTGTGCCAAGAAAATACTAAAGTGACTCCAGACATACTAGCTACTGCAAAAGGCACAGAGCTTTGAAAGCCCCTGATCAAAGCATGAGGATTGGATGGTACTCTTGTCAGGGCTTATTGTACCTGAGTCTGAGCTGCCCACCCAGAGCTCTTTTGGGGAGCAGGTGGACGTGAACAGGAACCTCTTTGCTAAGTCACTGCCATTTTGTTCGGATACCACATCTTAGTAAATGTAGCCATGGGCTGGTGTGGCCAAGGGAAGAGCAGTGGGAACAGAGCTCTGCTACTCAAGCTGCCTCTGAGGGCCATGCCTGTGTCCTAGGAGAGCAACCTATCCACAGGGCAAACCCCTATCCAGGGCCTGGGAGGAGTAAGACTGGCATGGGTGCTGCCCAGGTGGCAGAGGCCGGCTGGAGGGGGCTGGGATGGAGGCGTGGCCACAGGGCGGTGCTTGTGGCCTCTGTACTGTGCTGGGTGGTGAACCCTGCATGGTGAGCTCCCCACTTGCTGGGGCCCTTCGCCACCTGCAAAGTTGATAAAAAAAAGTTCCTTGGATGTTCCCAATTCTGTTTGACTCCATTTTCTCGTGGGCAGGTAGGCTGGCTCAGGAAGGCACGTTCTCTAGGACCTTACTTAGTTACTTTTCAACATAGCTGCTGAGTCCTCACACTTGCCATGAAAATGCTTCACCCACAGCTGTAGTGGGTGACTGTTGCCGTCAGGTGCCCAGAGCCTGTCTGGCTGTGGTCAGACTGCCAACTCAGATCCTGATTGGGAACCATGGTGTGCCGACTGGACCATGGAGGCAAGTACTCAGTTTCTGATGTGAGAACACCCGAAATTGAGAATGGTTTTCTCTTCTACGGATTGGAGTGATACTTTCCTGGACATGGGGCAAGAGTAGTAATGCCACAAGGGAGAGAGGCAATGCCCAAGAATGTGCCACACGTAACACCCTCTGCCTGTACCCAGGCAGATGGTAAGTTTGGTGTCCGGTCTCTCGGAGCATCCCAGACAAGGACTCCCTGTGCTGGGTGAGGGTGGTGGGAAGAGAGAAGTAGGGTAAGGATAAAGCCACCTTTGGATCCCCACTCCTACTGTGGAGTAACCAGCTGTGTGGCCAATAAAGCCCTTTAGAACAAAGCTACCTGCAGAGGCTGCCCATCTGCCAGACCTACCAAGCCTGAGGAGAAACGTTCTCTGTAAAAATGGAAAGAAAGCCTTCCGCATCCTTATTCCAACTCTCTCCTTAACACAGCCTCACAAAATTCTCAGCACTTGTTGTGGATCCTCGAAGAGATTATATTGTGTACCATCCTACCCTCGCAAATACAGATCTCCCTTGCCGGCTGGTATCCCACAGTCGGAAAAGCAAAACCAGCACCCTTCACTCCTCAGTAGGAGAAATGGCAGTGCCCCTGAGATGGCCATTTATGGACATGCTCTGGCCAACATTTAAGAACCGAGGTGCACAGAAGCACAGGGCAGGGAAGTGGGTGGGGGTACAGAACAGTGCTGAGAGTGGTCAGGAACTCTGACATGGGTGACTCCCAAGATTCTCACCCTCTTTGCTTTCCCCTTAGTACAATCTCTCACCTGTGCAAAGACACACTTTCAATTATTATTTTTTATTAAAATACTGTTATACCCAGTGGAATGCAGCAGCAATCCTGGTACAGGGTGGCATAACAAAACAGCCATGTTTACATTTTAAATATTTACGATAACTTAAACATACAGACACACATCATGGTCTTTGGCAGAAAAACGTTCACAGCACAAAAAAAAATACTTTAAAAGAAATACCAAATATTAATCCAAAATATATTAAGATGTTTTTTTTCTTTCACGATATTTTTTTGCCTTTTTTTCTTTTTTTTTCCTTTTTGCTTTGTAAACAATGCACATGAACCAAATGTACTTTTCAGCTTTAAAAGGGAAGGGCGATTTAAAAAAATATGCAATTGTCCAGCAAATGCAAATGTTCAAAAATGAACCAAGGAATAAAATAACACATACAAAACTTAAAAACAGAAAAGGAAAAAACAAATATTCAAGAACTAAAAACAGTCAAGACAAATAGGTAAAACCCTCCAATCGCTCCTGGGGCTGAGTTGGGGGACTCTTTAAGACCAAAAGTCAAAGTTGCTGCTGCTGGCAGGCTGCCATGTGGATGCGCCACCCTAATTCCAAGCATTGGCCCTGCTTCAGGGCGCTGGGCATGGGTAGCTTGAGGAGCCAGCCTCATGGGTGCCATTTTGTGATGGGGGCTCCCTTCAAACGACTTTGGAGTCACACCTTGTAGCTCATTGACTAGTTTTCAAGAGCATAGCTCTCTCTCTCAGTCCCTCCAGGTGAGAACAAAGACTCTGATGAGAACAAGGCAACTTCCCCAGTTTCCTTCAGCTGGTGCTAGGAAGCCCACCATGGCAGAAGTCTGTGTGTGGTGGCTCATTTCATCTGGCTCAGGGTTCATAACCAAACCGACAAGATGTCCCAGGAACAGGAGCTGCGGAGCCATTTCAAGAGGCTGAGGATGGGGAGGGGGTGTCCCACGGGCATTTAAAACAGGGCTCAAGATGGGAGCAAAAGACAGCCAATATCTCATGGATCAACCAGGATCAAAATACACGGGCCAAGACCTTGAGAAGGGGAGATAACTGGGAGGTAAGTCAGAAGCTGCAGGAATCTTGGCAGCAGGGATGAGAGCACAAAATGAGGGGACAAGCCCGAAACAGCGCACTTCAATCTTCCGTTCCACAAGAATGCGAATTATATACAAGCTGCCCGGCAGATCCCAGTCCCCTTAAATAGCCCCCACCCACTCCGACTGAGGGGGTGAGGCTGTGGCAGAGCCTTCAACAGTCCCCCCAAAGATGCAAGTTTCAGTGATCTCAAGGAGGCAGTGAATAGCTGGGGGCAGATGGGGCTGGCTGGGACCACACTTAGCCAGAGGGGAACACTGTGGCCAACTTGAACCAGCCTACCTGGAATCCACGGGCAGCCATCCTTGGAAAGCAACACCTTAAATCAATACACCCCATCCCTCCCTCCCCGTCTGGCTGCCAACTGGGGTACTCTTAGGGGATTCAGCTCTCTTCTGAGCTTTCAGTTGCTACCCCAGCAGCAAGCCTTGGGCAGCAGGTAAAGGCTGAATCTTCATTCTGTATGGGCCCAGGAGGAATATAAGGCTAAGAAGCACAGTCTTCTGGGGCATAGGTGCCCTCACAGCATCTCTCTCCCCTGTAGCATCCTTCCTAACCTTCTGGGACCAGATAGTCGAAGGGAATGAGTGGCCGGTTGAGGAAAGTGGGGAAGCAGCAGTTGGAGGGGGCTGCTAGAATGGCCGAGAGTGGCTGAGGAGAGCAGGGAATGGTTCCGAGTCCCCACGGCATCACTTCCTTCAGATCAGTATCTCCACCATCTCCGACAAATCCTGGACTCTCGATGCAGCAACAGAGTCTGGAGAAAGACAAGAGCACAGGCACATTGCCATGAGCATTTGCAGATTGCTCTTTTAAATCCTGGTACCCCTTTGAAAAGAGGATCTTTCTTCACCAAATTTTCCCATCTCAGTTACCCAGGTACCCAGGTTCCTATAACTTGGCCAACCAAGCACAATGCTCTGCTCCCTCTCAGCTCTCCATCCAGATCGCCACCCTCCAGTGTGGAAGACTCATTTGCTTAAAACTTTGAACTGCTTGGAGGGCTTGGAGGGAGGGTAGAGAGCCCTGAGGGAGGGAGGCTGCAGCATTCTTTTCATGCCTGTGGTTTTCTGAGATGTGAGGCACAAGCAAATATGCAAAGGCTAATGTGAAAAGGGAACAAAAAATTTAAATGGCATCTTCTCAAATTTCTCCTTCCCGGACTCTTTTTTTAAATAAAGTCTTCTAACTTGAGAGTGCCATTAGGATAACTGGCCAAGCTCCATTATCTTAGATATTTAGATTGGCAATTAAATATGTAAGGAAGATGAGGAAGGAGGAGATAAAATGCCTCCCAAGCCCGAGCTTTCAATCTGTTATCGGGGTTTCCATTCCTCATTCATGCATCCAACCAGCCCTCACGTTCATGTCGAGGTGGGCCACACGCCTTATTCACCTGCCACTATGCAGGGATCCCCAGGGAGGCGGGGCAATGAAAAGAGGGGTCTGGAAAGAAAGGGCCCGGTGCTCCAGGTCACACCCCAAATCGAGGCCCTTCCTTGATCACGCCCTTGGCCTTGCCTGGCACAGCAGCTGGGGGAACCGTGGACTTACCTAATGAGGCTGTCCTCTGGCCACTGCTGCACCCCAGAAGGCTGTCAGGTTCCAGTGCCAGGCAGGCAGCAGGGCTGTCAGGGGGTCCATCAGTTTGGGTGCTCCCATCTCTGCTCCCATGTTTGGCATGGGCGGGGAGGGGAGCTGTGGCCATTGGCTCCTCTGTAGGGGCCCTGTCTGCTGGAAAAGCAGAACATTGATAGTTATTGCCTCATCCACAAGAGGTGGCCCCCAGAAAGAACACCCTGAGTTAATTGTACCTACTAGGGGCTAAAGGTTGTGCAGGTTGCTCTTGATTTGCAAGAACTTTGATTAAGACAAAATGATCCTGTTTCCAAATGGGAATAACTATCACGTTGGAGTAGTTTCCAAATGTTTCGGGCGGTAGAACCCTTCTTTGTAGATTAAATGTTAATATCAGCAAGGACTCCCAAATTTCTATGGCATCTGCCTAGAAGGAGTGGAAGGGGCTTGCCCACATCTGCACAGAAAACTTTATTTTTACTTAGATGGTAAGTGGCCGGGGCATCAGGTGATAGAATTTATGGAGATGGGGGGCCTACAGCACCCCTCTTCACAATGGTGAAACAACTGTGGGCTACAGGATCACTGGTGCCAGAGTATAGGCTGGATCCCTGGGCCAGGGGTCAGGAAGCCCTGATTCTTCTGAGCCTCAGTTCTGGGTGGAAAGGCCTGAGAGCAACTTACCCCTCTACCTATGCCATCCACCAGCCCCTGCTCACCTGTAGCCAGCCAGGCAGGGGCATCCGCTTGTCGCTCACTAGAGGTGAGCCCCTGCCAGCCCTGGGTCCCTGTTGCTGCAGCTGCGAAGATGGATGGCACAGACTTGGCAGGCCGCAGAGAGCCCTGGGCGGCCTTGCCAGGGTCTCTCCTGGAGCGCTGCTGAAGGACCTTGATCACAGCATCCTTCTCCAGGATCTGCGCATGAAGCACCTTTAACCTGAGGGGAGAGACCATGCCCACATCGTTAGACCCACAGATCCAGTGTCCTCCACCCTTCCCATCTGGTAAAATGTGGACCAGGATGGACCCTCTTGCCCTTGCAGCCGGGCTGGGAGGGGGCCTTCAGAAATGTCATCATGGCTCTGGATTTTGATGCTCTGAAATACCGCTCCTTCTTACATCAGCAAAGGCAAGTTATTAAGGGGTGGATTGTGGACTCATCTGATGATAGCAACAGCACAACCCTTATCCTGGAGGGCAATACCCCAGAGTTACTGACAATCAAATGTGCCTATGCTTTTGAGTCAGACACAGGTCTAATGAAATCTTGAGGGGCCTCTGAGATTATTTTTAGAGGGAATTACTAACTAACTACCCCCAAGCCAGGGACCTAGTCCACATTTCTTCTGGGTGGTACATGGTGTGGACTCAGTCGAAAAGTCTTAGTCTCTGATTTACTTGGGAGAGAGAGGAGCAGGTAGAGGTCTGGAGCCTTGGACGGCATCCAGCACCTCCACAGCCAGGGTCTCTTGGGCAGATCAAGGACGCAGTTGGCTATCTCTGGGAAAGAACATGTGTACAATGCCTGGTTGCCAAACACGTGGGGTCAGCTCAGAAGTGGGAGAGACTGTTGAGCCATGTGGGGAGAGGGGCCTGTTTATCAGGTACAAAGAACATGGCAGAGACTAGACATTGTTACCCTGCACCCCCACCTCAAGTGCCCTGGCCTGGTCTGCAATGTCGAACCTGCTTTCCATCTCCTGATGCCTATGGCCGCCAGCAAGCAGGCCCTCGTTGAAGCTGCTGCTCGGCGAGGGCTGGGGGGAGTGTCGGATGAGAGTGGTGTCACGCTGGGCGGCAGCTGTGGCGGCTGCATCCATGGCAAACTGCCTCATGGCACGTTCCTCCAAATACTTCTGCTCCCACTTGGTCATGTCGGCCTCCAGCGCCAGGATCTGCTCCTCCTTCTCCCGCAGTTGTTCTGATAGCCGCAGAGCACTGAGCTCTGGGGACCCCCCGCTGCCACTGCTACCACTGGGGGTGCCAGCCTGCCTCTGCAAAGCAACAAGTACTGTGGTCAAGGAAACAGGTTGGGGTGTAGTGGCCACTGGTCCTCGCCCCCACACTAAGACTCTCATGACCATGCTTGTTTAGCTATTCACAGCACACTCTCCCCCCACCCTGCTTCCACCCAGAGACAAAGGAGGTGGCTTGGGTCCCCATATCCCAGCCCTGAATCGTGTGGCCAAGGGGGTAGGAGAGATCAGGTCTGCCTCTGTACAAGTGACCACGTAAATTATCCTCCGAACTGGGAAAGGGTTAATAATGACACTGGGGTAATGGGTGTAAACTAGGGCAGAACTGGGCATACCAGGACGTTTGGTCACCTTACGTCTCTGGGAAGGGTAGTGGAGACAGAACTCTATCTGGCCTACAAACACCAGCTATTTACACAGTCCAAAGTGCAGATAAAGATTTAGGATCTGGGTGACTGACTTCCCTCTCGATCTTGGGGAGAAACATAAGAGTGGGCTAGTGGTCTACACTAAGGCTCCTGAGCTAGTTTCTCTAGAGAACAAGGACATCAACCACTGCTGCTCCTAAGGACAGAAGGCCAAGTCTTGAGTTCCTGAGATCGCCACATGGCCAAGTGGCAGAGCCTCTGCTGAGACTAGTGGTTGGGAGGGGCCTTACAGCAAGGGTGGAACAGAGATCATCCTTGCTTTCCAAGGGCACCTCAGCCCGGATCTGTGCAGGAGTCCCCAGGGGCTTCAGAACTGGTCTCCTCAGGTGCTGCCCTTGCTCAGCCACCTCTACAAGGCTTCCCAGCTCACCTGCTGTGCACGCAGGGCCTTGAGTTCCTGCTCCAGCCGCGTGCGGAGACGTAGCTCCAGCTGCTCACGCTTCTCACATGCAGCCTGCAGCTGCCCAAGTGCCTGCTGCAGCCGCTCCACCTTCTCCACGTAGGCTTGCTTCTTGCGCAGCTCCTCCTCAGCTCGTGCTGCCCGGCCCTGCGCATTGCTCAGAGCCTGCTCCAGCAGCTCAGCCCGCCGCCGCTGGTCCTCGATGGCACCGCGTAGCAGAGCAATCTCCCGCTCGAGCTTCTCCTGCTCTTGCTGCTGCTCATAGCCTGAAGGGAGAGAGGCTTGGTCAGTGACAGCGACCACCCTCACCGGCCCCACATGCTGACCACCGGATGAGCACAAATGCACCTTACCCTCTCAACAACCCTAGGAGCTGGGTACACTTATTAACCTCATTTATGGGTGAGGAAACTGAGGTTCAGGTTAGGTTACAAATAAATGGAAGCACCAGACCAGGGCCCTTGAGCTACACTTCCTCTCTGCTGGGTCATAGACTTGCCACAGAACAGCCCCAAACACTGTCCACTTGTGCCAGGTGTCGCCATTTCTAAAACACATTCACAATTTCCCTTGAGCCTCATGATGACACTAGAGACTGGCCAGACAGGAACTGTGATGCCCATTTAGAGATGAGATGACGGACTGCAACACGGTCATCTTTCAAGTGGGAAAGCAAAGTGACAGGAACGAGAACCACCACTCGCTACACCAGAAACCAGCCACTTACACATCCTATTCCACTGAAGCTTCCAATAACAGTCCCTCAGGACTGTGACTCCTAACTTATAGGGAGGAAAGAGAGTAGAGAACAGTGCTGCCAGAGGGAACCCTGGCTCCAAAGGACCAGGATGCTACTGGCGATGGTATAAGGCCCCTGCACCGAGAGGCTTCCCACAGTGGGCTCCAGGGCTCATTCTATGGTTTAGTGCTACATTACCTTCCTTGATCTGGGGAGACCACTGAGATGTGGGCAACCAGGCTCATAAAGAAATGCAAACTCTGGGGCATAATAAAAATGACTCTGGTCCAAAGATTTGTGTCTGAGGTTCCAGCTATCCTGACTTTTAAATCATCTTGTTAACTGCCGAGGGGAACTCTGCTCAGAGCTCAGAGATCCTCTCCACGTAGCAGAACCAAGCAAGGCCTGAGCCAGACAAGCAAGTCCTTCAACTGATGCTCTAGACTTAAATCTACCTCCCACACACCTCTCCTTGGGAGTCCCAGGCTGGTCCCCCAGGAGTGTGTCAGTTGCCTTGCTGGAGAGCAGATGGGCTCTGGGCCCTGCCTGATAAACTTCGAGGCCCTGTCTCTGGAGCAGCGCTGTAACACACAGTGGAACTTGCTGCTGTCATAGAACTGCTCTATACGGTGCCAATCGGTGCGGCAGCCGCTTGGCATGTGTGGCTACTGAGCACTTGAAATGTAGTTAGTGCAAGGGAGAAACTAAATTTTTCATTTCACTTAATTTTAATTAATTTTAATCTTTGGGCCACATGTGGCTAAGCACCTATTGTATAGGACAGTACAGATTCTGGAACAGAAGACTGAAGGCTTGGGACCTGGGCAGGCAAAAAGGAGGATTCATTTACTCAGGATTCATTTACTGAGGCAGGAGAGGGAGGCTATAGGCCACCCAGGTCAGCTCTGGCTCACTCTGCAGTTTTGAAGGTTGGGCACAAAGCTGGCCTCATTTCTTGGTGTGGACGGAAAAGATGAGGGAGCTCAACATGGAAACTGAGTCATTCGTAATGGGCTGGCTTAACATTCAGCAAGTGGGGTGCAGAGGGCAATCAAGGACTGCAGACTAAGAGTTTGAATCTAGAGACAACGACCCCCCCTTCTGTGTGGGTTCACAGCTTACAATGTTTGCAGGAGGCCTACATCTCATCCCAGTCTTATAACTGCCCCTATCTTACAGCCTCAGGTGAGACAGAGCTAGGAGAACCAGGCCTCAGGATTCAAGGCCAAATCCCCAGGGAGGGCAGGGCCTGACCACAGCGGCCAGAGCTGGGGGTCTATATGGCCTGCCTAGTAGGAAAAGCAGATGGCACGGGTGATAAGGATCACATTTCCCTGCTAGTGTTGACCGATGGGGGTGAGTTCAGTGGTGAAGTTAACCAGAGACTTTTTCCCTGACAATTCTGTTTTCCTCATTGCTATTAAGGAGCAAGGAAGAGCTAGCTGCTTGGCTTTCCTCAGCCCTTGGGAAGGGGCTGGAGGACCTAGCCTTCTGCTTCCAGTAGCTTCCTGCCACCTTTCACAACCTCTAAAGCCCTGGCAGAGGCTGGGAGTCCTCAGACCTTGACCGTTCCTAGCCACCAGGATAAAACCGTGGGCCTGTCTATCTGGGAGGGGAGCGCCTGGACAGGGTGGGAGAGGAGCCTGGAGATGGGGGAGTGGGCAGGGGGCAAGAAGATCGGGCAAGCTGTGGAGGGAGCAAGGGGATGAAAGCCAGGCCCCCAACCCTCATGCCCCCGTCTCCCTTTGTGTTCACTCTCCCTCTCAAAGCAGTGGCTGGGCAGGCGAAGGGCGCTGGGCCTCAAAGGGAGGGAGAGATGGGGGAGGCAGGCCAGAGCCCAGCGGCTCTGGAATGCCAGGCATCCAGGTCACCCGCGGCTGCAAGATTACTGGCTCCAGCGAGGAGCCAAGAACAGCCTGGCTCGTGCTCTCTGGGGAGCGGAAACGCCTCCAGGCACCCCCCGCCCACCCCTCCTCTGCCAGCTCCCAGAAACTGGCCTGTGAGACTTCCTTTCTTCGGCAATCATGGTCCCAAAAGTTGGCCCTTTCCTACAGGACACCCCCATTCTGCCTCCTCCCAGCAACCGTTCCGTTCCTCTCCGGACTCCCAAAGGCTGTCCCTCCTCTTTCTCCCTCACTGCTCTCACCTCCCTCCCTCTCAGAGACTGTAAGTCATTGCCACCTCACCCCACCCAGCCAGTAGAGCCTAGCCTGCCTCCAGCCCTGCCCCCAACCCCTTCAGTGCTGTGCACCCCCCATTCCCTGCCCTGGGCAGCCCTGCCCAGGGCTCTGAGCCCTCCTTGAGGAAGAAGAAGGTGCTGCCAGTCAGAGCTCATTCTTTCAGCTGCCCCTTACTAACTCTTACTAACTGTGCCACTCACAGTAAGTTTCCTATGAGTTCTTTTGACTCCGTCCTCAAGGCCACCTTCACCCAGACACCAGCCACTCCCATTCCACTTCTCAGTACACACCCAATGTCACCACAGCAGATAGTAAGAGCATACAGTAGTAGCTCAATAAATAACAGCCTCTCTTTGTCTCTTCTGATTGCTAGAGCTTCCGACTGCTGAGCTCGGAGCTTCCTTTGTCTCCTACTCACCCTCCATGCACCTCTCCTTGGGCTTTCCAGTTGTTTCTTCAACCGTGGCCAGCTCTCCACCCCTGTCATGCCCATAAAGCCTCACTCTCTGGCCACTGGGGACCTCCTGGTGGTCACTAATCTCCAAAGCCGGGGCAGCCTGTTCCCTTGAATCTGCGGTCAGACTGTGTTCCTTCCTCAAGCTCGCCCCCTCTCTCCACCTCCCTGCCGTGGTGCTTTGGGAGGGACATTCCTGGGCTAGCTCTCATCCTGCCAGGAGCATAGCACAGATCTGCTGACCAACAACTGAATGACCGAATGGACTAGCCAATAATAAACTCATTCGCTCTTCAAAGAGGCTTCAACCACTGCTTTTGGAGAACCTCCCAAACCCCTTCTTTAGACTGCACCTGTTGGTTCAGCTCCAGGAGCCCATTTTTGCTATCTGCAGGTGTCTCCACTTGGCCACCCTGTCATGGCCCAGTTCCACCATACTCCCCAGCTTCTCACTGGCCCATTGGGCACCCTCAACCTTTCTGTTCTCTGGAACTCCCTAGGAAACTCAGCCTCGTCTTTCTTTATCATCTTGCCACCTGCAGGGCGATCCTGCCTCCTGCCCTGCCCACTGCACCTCTGCTTCTGAAGGACGCTGCACTGATGGCGAGCGCCAAAGATCAGCAAATGAGTGCTCCCCAGCTGTCCTTCTTGTGTCCACTGATCTCCCCAATAAATAGAGAACCAGATTTTATTCTTCTTTGGAAGCCGCTCCTCTCCCCAAATCCAGTATAGTGCTTGGCACACAGCAGGCATTCAGCAGACCTGTGCTCAAAGCACAGCTTCGACAAGGGGAGGGCCAATCCTGCCTGTCCAGTGGGGCTGCCATGGTCCCACCACCCACACATCTGGCCAGGCTTCTGAGTGGGACCCTTACTTACTCTGGGCAAGCAGCTTGGCCACCATGTCCTGACTCCCTGCCTGAGCCTCCTGCGTCTTGCTCACCAGGCGGCGGTTTGCAGATTCCAATCTCTCTGTTTGAAACAAGGAAAGATGTTTTCAGGAAAGATGTTTGAGTACCAAATGAAGCTGCCTGCCTGGGGTTGTCCCCTGGGGGCCTATCTGTGGGGCTACATCCTCCAAGCTGGGGATGGGCTCACAGGGAGCCACCGTGACAACTCAGAGCCTAATGAAGGAGCACCCAGGGCCACATAGGTGAGAGCTCCAGAAGGGGCTCCAAGATCCAGATGCAGAGACAAGCATTTATCAGAGTGGCCCCCAAGAGGTCTCAGCTTGGACCCTTTTGAATCAATTTACATTTCTCTTTGCAGAGGGCAGATTCCTGCTCTCACCTCGAAGATCCCGGTTGAAGTCCTGCAGCCTCCTCATTTCACTGTCCATCTTGTTCCGCATGGTCTTCTCCAGGGCCTCCCGTTTGGTAGAAGCTCTCGTCAGGCTCTCGTGGGCCTCAGAGAGCCTCTGGATTTCGTTTTCCAGCTGCAAGAGGCAGGCAGAGGAGCTGAAGGAAGGGGATAGCTCCCAGGGAGTGTGTGGCATCAAAGCCCCCTCCATGGGACCAGGCTGATCTGCTCTCCATCAGAGGTGAGAGACATGATAAAAGCTCAGAGCAAAAAATCTGGAGGGAAGTGATCAGAAGCTTATATAGCCTTGGGGCGGGGGTGGACCACCAACCAAGGGTGCTGTCAACTATCTCAAGGTCCAGATGCTGAGTGAACCCAGGGCCAGGTACTCTGGAAGTGGTTGCCTCCAGGGTGACTAAATATAGCTTTCCTGTGCCCAATGTCCAGAGAGAAGCATTTTACTTTTTTTCTGGCTTCTGCTGAGAAATCGGAGCCCAGTGGGCCTGGAGTGGGCACAAAAAGACTCCAGCCATGTTCTGAGGTTTGACCTATCTTGGACACCACAGGAGAGCCACAGGAGAGCCACAGGAGGCCGGAGGCCACCTGCTAAAGCTGAACACACAATGGTAAACCTTCACTAAAGAATGAGGTACTGGACCCTAGTCTGAGCCGCCTCTGCCTGGAGCATTTGCTCCTTTGGCCATCGCCATCCACCGCAGAGGCCAGCCTGCCCCTCCCACTTGGCTGGTGGCAGGTTCCGCACGTGCTCCTAGCTGGCCTGTGATTCTAATAAGTCACTCGTTTTTTCCAAGAGTGGGGGCTTTCTCTTTGGCCAGAACAGACTTGCTGTTGTGTGGGGGACACAAAGGGCTCTCTGTGGGAGGTGTCCGCGGGAGGGGGTGTATGCCGGGGAAGGGTGCGAGTGTGCAGGGAGCTGGTGAATGGGCTCTTTCTAATCACCACTGGCCAGCAACTGCTCATGCTTCAGACCTGCTCTGCAGGCCTCGCGACTGCTCCCCAGCTGTCTGGAGTCAGCCAGGGAGGGTGCACGAGGGGTGAGGGAGTGGAGGGCAGTGGGATGGGTGAAAAGCCTAGTCAGATGAGCTTTCAGACTCCTCTGCCTCCCCTCCGACTGCCCACTACTACCCAGTCAGTCCAGGGCCCCGGCAGGGCCTACCTTCTCCATGCGGCCAGTCTTCTCTGCTGAGCTCTCTAGCTCTCTCTGTAGCCTCTCGTTGTCCCTCTGCAGCCTGGCATTCTCCCTCAGCACCGTCTCCATCTGGGCCAGGTGGGCACTGCCTGAAGTGGCCAAGGAGGCCTGGATGCTTGCTGGCCCCTCTACCCCAGGTGGACTGAGGGAGCTTAGGGGGCCATGGCCAAGAGCAGCTGGGTGTTGGGGTGGGGGATGCTCCTGGGGCTGCTGCAGGTACTGGTACTGCTGCTGCTGCTGGAAGAACACAGGAGGCACCTGGGCCTGCAGGATCCTGGGGAACAGGAGAGACAGTGCTCAGAGACTGCACGGATCCCCACGGCTCCCACCCCAGAGCAGCCCTGAGTCAACCCGGCCCTCCTGGTCAAAATGGAAAGATGTCAACTCAGCCTCCAGCCATGGAGAAGGCCTTTTCCACACGGTGTTTGTGTAAAACCCTCAACAGCCAGGAGAGCGGGGCTAGAGGGGATTAACATCCACAGGCTTGTTTCATGCCCAGCTTCACTGTGGCCAAGGCCTTGGGGATCAGCCTGAACAGTCCCGGCTGGACCTCTCAAACAACCAGTGCTTAAATAAGGGACCTCTAAAAATGCACACTTGATCCTTCGAATCAAAAGCAGGTTCTTTTTTGGGTCTGGAGGCCACATGAATCACGACTGAGCACACAGCTTTCCAGGCCCCTGGGCCACTTGGTAGCTGAGCCCCAGCAGCCAGTCCTGTGTCCGTTATGAGCCTCTAGTTTCAGGCATTACTAGCACCTGCCGTTGAAGCACACTCACGTTTTCTCTCTCCTATTTCGGGTCCTATCGCCCTTTGCAGCAACATTTTTAGAAGACTGGGGCTAAGGTTAGAGCATGAGACAGATGTCAGGGTAAAAGTCTGAGCTCCAGAGTCGGAGGGAATAGGCATTTAAATCCCCAAGGTGCCGACGTGGCTCTGCTAAATCACGTAAGCGACTCTAGCCTCAAGGGGGTGCATGGCAGAGTGCTGGGCCGACAGGAGGTGCTCCGGTAATGGTGTCCCATCCTCAACTTCTCCTAGTGGTGACCGCAGCTTATTCTCTGTTTAAAGAGTAAATGTGGTGCAAACACTAGATTTGCTTGGGTGTAGGGGCTGCTTCTGGACTACTGCAATAGCCTGAGTTTAGGGACAATGTGCTACTGCCCTGTAGCACTGATGTAACACCAGCCTTAGGGCTCCGTGTCAAGGGAGGGAGCAGAGAGCAAGTGGCATGGAGGGTCACAGACCCTTTCCGGGGCCTCGTTCTCCAAGTGTAAAAGAACAAACTGCCTCAATTTTACCAGGGATTTTCCAATCCCCAGAAACCCCATGAAAATTTAATTCCGCTTTTGGATTTATCAGCCCAGCACTCATGCCCACCCTCCCCTTCATTCCTCTCCTGCAGCCTTGCTCCCCGGTTCTTCTTAGGGCCCTAGGCTGAAAGAAAAGTCCTCACCCCCAGCTCCCAACAAACAGTCCTCATCTGAGCAGCCCAAAGAAGAGGCTGGACAGATGTGTTTCTCTTTTACTGCCTAAGGCAGAGCTTCCCGTGAGAGCTCCGCAGAGAGTCCCCAGTGCAATGTTCACACTCTCTGCACTGCTAAATGTGGCACTCTCGGGGTTGCTTCATCAACTTGCTCCCCCTGCACTGGGCCAGGCAGACACAACTGGCATTCTTTGGGGATGACTTAGCTCCGAGAAAGAATAGAGTCTCCTTTCCCTTCACACTTGCTCTCGCTTCCCCTCCCCCTCCGTCTCTTTTTTGTTCTCCCGAAAACAGTCTACTTCCTTTCTATGATATTATCTTTTCCTGACAGGGTTCAATAAGGCTGGTCCAAAAGAAGAAACCACGACTCAGCTTCCGAAACTCTCCCCGACTCAGCCCTGAGAAGGGAGATAAGGTAGGGGGCCTGGGAGGTGGAGGTTGGAGAGAATCCACGAGGCTCCAGTTCCTCCATACCAATGCCCTCGAGTCACTCATTTCTCGAGAGCAAGGAAAGGCCGAACGGTGGGAAAGTGGGTGACTAAATGAAGACTCAGTAGGCATGAAGAGAACCAGATTTTGACCTTGAGTTATCAGAAGAAGAGAGTCTGTAAATCCTGAGGCCCCTCTGGTGGGATTTCCTGGACCCCCGTAGGGGAAGATGAAGGGTATGTGAAGTGAAGAGCATGTGTCAGCTTCATTTCTAGGAACCCATATTTCTGCAAACTCTCCGGGCTTCCTGCTCTCCCCTGGTCTCCCTGCTTGCATTCTTGCCCCTTAGAATCCATTCTCTACAGGCGGCCAGAGAAGCCTTTTTAAAAGGGTAAGTCAAGTCATGTCCTCTCAAGCCTCCGCAGAAAGGGAGGCTTGTACCCAGAATCTTCTCCCCCTCCAGGTTTCAGCCACGTGGAGCACATGGAAAAACATCAAAGGCAATGAACAGTAGAGGCAGGGCAGCTTCTGCCCTGGTGTAGGATGGCCCTAAGGAGGCCATCAGGTCCGTCCTGCCTACAGCTAGAAATACTTTCCAATCATCACAGAAAGCAAATTGTCCACTTGTTCTTAAAAACCTCCAAAGAAGGCAGTCTCACCTTCTTCCCACTTAACTTGGAAAGACTTTGGCAATGATTCCCAGACCTGTTTTTATCAAGTTCTTTCTGAAACCTAACCTTTAACCCCCTGCTGTAATTCATACCCTCTGGGAGCACCGAGTTACTTGACAGCTACAGCTAATTAGACACGGCGTTCATCTCTAAATTAAAGCAAGGGATGCTACTAAGTTCTCACGTGAGCTTGACTAAGTCCCTCCGTTCTCCAGGCATTAGCTCCTCCTTTCCTCTGGGGCTTGCCAACCTGGACACAAGCGGCTCTCTGGAGCCTCTGCACTCTAGGAGAACTACACTGGAAGAAAATTAAGAACGTGAAAGACCAAGGTGGGCAGTTACCTGACTTCAGCATGCTGGAGGTGTGCGCTGCCGCGGGCGCGATACCGAGGGTCGGTGACAGCGGTCGTGGTCTCATGAGCTAGCACAACGTGTGGGTACTGAGGTGGAGGTCCACGGGGCTCTGGGCCTTCGGCAGGGGGGCCCCTGGCTGGGGGGCCTTTCTGGTTTCGGGCCAGCTGTGGGAAGCTGTGGGAGGAGCTCATGTGGCTTGGGGCCCGGGCACCGTTCCTCTCCAGGGACAGCTGCAGGAGCCGTTCACTCAGGGAGCGCACGTGCCCATGCCTCAGCTCCCGAAGGGCCTCATCCTGCCTTTGATTGCCTCCAGGGGCCCCGCGGGGATCCCGGTCACTAACATGTGGCCGGGGCCCTGCTTGCTGGGCGGCATAATATTGCAAGTGGGCTTTTGCCTCCTCATAGGTGGGCAGCTCCTCGCCCTTGCTGGGCTGTGGACACAGCCGATAGAGGGTATTCTCTGCCAGGTGGGGCTCACCACCCTGATGCTCCTGGCCCTGGGGCTCCTGCCTTGTGGCCTGCTGCAGCACCTGGCTGTCCTCAGGTGCCAAGATCTCCAGGGAGGCTTGGGGGCTCCCTGTGCCCCCAGCTGCAGCCCCACCCCGCAAGGCCTGCTGCTGGATGGCCAGCAGCGTGCGTGTCTCAGTCAGGTTGCCATAGCGCAGCTGCTCCTGGATGAGGCGGTGCAGGACTGTCCCAGAGGAGTCTTCCAGTGTCCTCATACTTTCTTGCTTTGCACACACCAGCCTGGACAATAGTCAGAGGCACGTGGCCCCAGGGCACCTAGGAGGAAAGAAAGAAAAGCAATCAGTGGGAACGCATGGGAAAGAAGGGAACTTGCCATCATAGTCCGGTCCAAAGCATCAAGGTAAAGAGCAAGGCCAAGAGTGCCACACAAGCCTGATTTCAGCTGCCAGTGCTGCCCCCTACTGATCAAGGCAAGTCACCTAACCTATGAGCCTCAGTTTCTCCATCAGAAAAAGAAAATAACGCTTGCCTCATGAAATTGAAAATGAAAAGAGGCAATGGCTATTACTGGCTGGTGCACTATAAATCCTTGGCAAAGAACCACCATTATAATCATATATGGAGACTTACTATGCCTAGAGAAAGATACTAGTACCTGGAAGGTGATCGACAAGGGAACCACAGCCTCCTGCAGTCAGCCAACCATCAAAGAGCCTGAAGAGAGACTCCAGGGCAGGGCTAGTTCAAATCCAACCACTGAGCTGTCCAATCCAGGGGTGGGCAGGGCCCCAGTTTATTGGCAGGTGATAGAGAATGGGTCCAGCCCAGTAGAAGCCTTAGGCAAACGACCCCCAGAAGCCTCTAGAATGAAGCATGACTGAGCCCCAGCCTGGGCTCAACTCACTCACCGCCCTTTACCTTGCCAAGCCCTCCCTGTCATGGGATGACCTTGGCAGTCCCTCTGCAAGGTGAATGGGAAGGAGAAAATGCCTCTGAATTGGTGGATAAGGGATGAATGAAGAGAGGCTACAATAGAATAATGGTTTTGTGAGATGAGGCAAAAAGGTGCCACCCATTAAGGTTTGTGGGTCAGTCACACGGTCTGTGTTGACAGTATCCTGAGCGCTCCAGGAAAAAGGATGGACAATGTCTTTGGGTTTTCGATTATGACACCATGTCCACGCCATACACGTGCATGCACCCACAGACAGACACACACACAACTTGGAAAAGCCCCCTATGGTCCTCTAGCCACATAGCAGAGGGGCACTCAGCATCTTGACATCAGTAACACCCACTCGAGCCAAATGGAGGAATAGGGGCCCAAGGGGGAGGCTCTTGGTTGCAGGGACCTGGGGGCCGTGAGGACAAGGACATAGTATCTCGTGAGGAAACTGTTCTCTTCAGAGCCGTAGCTCCCAGTGGCTCATGCCTGGAAGGCTGCCTGCGTCACCAGGCTTCCTTTCCACGGTCTCCTCCAACACAAATCTCTAAACTGGGATTCAGGGAAAGCCAAACAAAACTTACACCTCCACAGGTCCCGTGGATATGGGAGGAGGAGAGTGGGAGGAATGTTGCCCCTCCTCTGCCACAAAACTAGCCCCAGTGCGCCGCGGCAGTTTGGGCTTGGCAGGCTGACAGAGCAGCCATTCCCAATCCACTCCCTCCTGGCTGCCCAAAGCTGAGGAGCGCGAGATGAATCTGGAGGGCATCTCTGTCCCCGTCCTTCCCGGCACCCAATCATGCCGCCCTCCGGCCCCCATGCGCACGCGAGAAATGAAGATGCAAGACTCCAGAGCTGCCAGAGACACCACAAAAAGCAATCGATTTGCCCTAGAGTTTCATCCGCGGGGCATTTCCTAAACTCATCGCTGTCCGCCTGACTCCCGCAGAGGGGGACCAGGGACTGCAGAGCTTTCCCGACGGATTCCAGGCCTCCTTCCGCCAACAGTGTGCCCACGAGCAGGGAACGCCTCCTCCGGGGCCTTTCATTCTGAGTGTGTCCCCGTCAAGCCCCTCCAACGCACATCCTTTCCGCTGAGCCTCTGTTAAAATCTGCGTCCCACCCCCGCAGGGCACCTCTGCAGCGCTAGCGCGCCGCGCTTTCTGAAACACCCGCTTCCTAAGCGAGTACGCATCTCTAGCCTTTGCCTCGGCTCACGCTCGCCTGACAAACCGGAGTGAGGGTTTGTCCCTCAGTCCGATCGCAGCGCAGCCAGGGATCCCACCCTACCCGGATCCCGGGCCGACCTCGAGCTCTCGGGGGGCTGCCAGTGCGCCGAGAGCGGGCGGATGACCGTAGCCAGTGGCCCAGAGGTCTTTAAGTGTCGCGGGTCCGCCTGCTTCCCTCCCTCGCCAGCCCTCTTTGTTTTCCGAATGCTCCAGCACTGACGTCACCGGGCTGGACAGCAGGCTGCATTCTTTCTAAGTGAGAGCCAGTTCGCGGCTCCAGAGAGGATTTTCCAAGGAAGACAAAGAGGAATTCTTGGGCTAGCTGGAAGCAAAAACACCTGTAAACCCCCACCTAACCAGATCAGCCCCCCAGAGCCCTGCGACTTGACTTCGAAGCGGCGCCTACTGCCCTATTCCGCGCCCCTCTTCTCGACCCGCGACCGAAGCACAAGCCGCGCTCTCTCCAGCGGCTCCCCCAGCCCCAGCCCAAGAAACCCGCGCGCCTTCGAAAACCCACACTCCCCGCGCGCGGCGCCCTCCAGGTGCAGGGGCCCTCGCCAGCCTTTGCAGCTGCCTGTAAAGCGCCCTGAGGACGCTGGATCCCCGGGGCTCCCGCTCCGGGAAAAGGCCGAGATGTGCCTGAGCTCGGGCTTCGGCGCGTCTCTGCCCGCCCCGAGCTCTCCCCGAGCGCCGAGCCGCCTTCCTTACCGCTGCGGCCCGCGGGCTGTCGGCTCCTTCAGACCGACGACCCAGCCCGGCTCGGCTCAGCTCGGCAGCGGAGGTGTGCACTCGGCGGTGGCGCCGACGCTCTGGCCGCTCGGGCCCCAGCGCGCAGCCCCAGGGTCGGCCCGCGCCGGAGGCGGCTGCTATGCCAGGAATGTGAGAGTTTCAGGTTCCCCCTCGGGATCAAAGAGAACCACAAATAACCTCTCAGCGCGCCGCCCTCCCCCGCCTCCTCCTGCTTGCTCCTCCCGGCCCCCGCCTTCCTCCCGGGAGGCGGTGCTGCGGGCCTGGTGCGCGGCCGGCCCCTGAGCGGGCATCCCGGGCGGCCCAGGTTCCTCCTGGACGCGCTGCGCCCCTCCTGGTCCTGCTCCCTGCTCCCGCCTCCCTCCACGCTTTGCCTTCAGAGCTGCTGGAGACGAATTAATCCAACTCAGCCCATTACGGTCCCCAACTTCGTCCTCCCCTTCCTCTCACCCCTTCATCCCATGCGCGGGACGACACGGAGGGATGTACATCTCGTGTCCCTGAGGGATTCTGAGTGTCGCTGCGAGAGAGTGCTAGGGTGGGGGTGGGGGCCTCGGGCTGTGTGTGTGTGTGTGTGTGTGTGTGTGTGTGTGTGTGTGTATGCGCGCGCTCAGGGGGAGGGAGAACTGCAAAGTTGTCTGTATCTGCCTGGTTTGGACCGTGCCCTTGGCGATGAGATGACTCTGCTTCCTGCGCGGAGCCTCTTCCCTAAGCCCCACTGCTTTCACCGCCAGCGGCGACCTTTGAATTGCACTTTTATTGTTTACCAACACCTTCGCCAGCTCTTTCAGGACCTGTTTCCACAGGAAGTGTGAATATGGGCTGGAAAATGTTCTGGTTAATTTGACCCACCTAACCAACTGAATCACCCGCCGCCAGGCTCTGTGTCTTACTCTAACAGACGAAGGTTACCAGTAACCGGCACCCCTTACACGCAGCGCGCACGGCGTGCCACCACCCGCTTTTCGCCTAGTTATCTCATTCAGCCCTCCCAGTCATCCTCCCAAGGAACTCTGTTACCATCTCTGTATTATAAATGAGGACACCAAGACTCAGAGAGGTTAATTAGCTTGCCCAGGGTCACACCGAGAGTAAGTGAAGCCAGGTAACCACTTGGCTGCTCAGTTTCTAATTCTCAAAACTCTTCCGTAGTCACCAAAATCCAGGCTTCCTAGAGGGCCGAGGCAGGCTCTGGGAACCCACCTCTCTCCATCTACCCTCTCTCTGTTCCAGTCTCTTCTTTACTTTTCCCTGTACCCCTGCAAGCCAGGGGCCCCTCTTATGTCCACTTCTGTTGCTCCTGCTGTTTCTCCTTTGGATGGAATTCTCTCTTCTACCTTTAGGACCCTTTGTCCCCCACCTTCCCACTAGGATGGTTGATGGTTCATCTGTGCTGATGGAAATCTCTTCTTCAGAAAGCCTGCTCTGACACATGCTCCCCACCTGCCTTCCCCCTCCCCCCACAGATCTGTGCCATTCCTGAGCCCTAACCACACTGGGCCTCCCACCATGTTGGGGGCAGGGTCGGTGGAGAGGTGGGGGACACAAGCTTTTGTCTGCCAGAAGGGTCAGGGCTGACTTCCACTCCTGGCTGGGTCGTCTCCTTCTCCCCTCACCATGGAGTTTGCAATTCCCAGATCCACTGGAGGGGACCATGGACAAGAAAACTTTGTAAGTTCAAAGAGCTATTTACTATTCAGGGACATCGTTAATTTTTAATAAAGCCCTCCCCTAAAATTTGTGTATATATGTGTGATTTACTTGGAAGCCAAATATTGCATTTCAAACAGTGATCATCTGTGAGACGAATGAGAAAATAAGTCATTTGTGCTAAGCTAAGGGATATTCGGCCATCCAAGGACCATCTCACAACGAGAAACTATGGATAATATGCCACTGTCTCGACTAGATATACTAGGTAGAATTTGAAAAACGAAAAGGAAGAAAGACGAGGTCTCCAGGTGGCCTTACCCTGTGGACAGCATTCTTCTTGAAAACACTCTGTGGGGGAGTGAGAGTGGATGTGGGCAAGTGTACTCTGGGGTTGCAAAATCAGGTGAAAGGTCACATGGTACAGTTCTGTCTTTGGGGTATTTAGGGGACATCTGACAAAATGCTTGACAAGCATTCTTGAGATGGTTGCAGAAAGAGGTGGGCTCAAGGCAGCTAGAGTCAAGGAGATACATCTTGGAATGGGCACGTCTGCAGCAGACATACACGGCTCACCTCTGTGTCCCAGAGCAATGGAAAGCAGAGAAGGACCCTGACACCTGAATGGGAAATTTACACACATTTTTCTTCTCTGTTCTTCTCTGCACGGAAGATGGGGGGAAGGGCCTAACAGGCAGGGCAGGGCCAGAGGCCTCAGCGGAGCCTGCCTGAGCTGGCAGCCACACCTGGCTCTGCAGTGTGGTTGAGTGAGAGAGTCAATACAGCTCAGATATACAGGTGGGCACTG